TCTCTGTTTGCTTATAAGCATTTTAAGCCAGATTAGTGATTATTTTTAATAAAATTGATTTTAATATTCTGTTATGTAAGCAGGAAATATATCCATTAGTATTATTAAATAAAGTTTAAACCGATAAAGATCTTTCTTTAAAAAAATATTTTATGTATATTTATATCACTAAATAGCGACATATGGATGTCAATTCTGTTATGGTTTAACTTAACTTTGCTTAAAAAATATATAATTTTAATTGAAGTCCGTTTTTCCATTTTGAAATATTCCGCAGTCGTATACAATCATAGAAATGTAGTTCATTGAAAACATTATAATTTTAGTTTGACATGACATAACCTAAATTTAGTTATGTTTGTGGAACATAAATCACTACCTTTCAGTATTAGACAATTCATACTACGTAACATAGAGAGAGCATAGATCGATTTTGTATTTAGTAATAGAAAAAAATCTTCACACTAATTAAGATGATTTTATAAATTTAAACTTTGGTTTTATACAGTTAAGATAAAATATATTTGTCGTAAAATTCAAATAATAAGTAGAGTCATTTGTGTAATTTCTCATTGATTAAATTACAAAGACATTTCTGTTTCCGCTTGTAGAAAATATGTATGTTTAATCATTTATCATTAGAATAAAGCAAGTCCAAAAAGGCCACTTCTGGAAAATGGTATATTATGAAAGTTTATCCGACCGTAATCGACTTAAAAAAGAAAACTCTAAATATAAAACCGATTTTGACAAATTTTGGAAGGGTATATTCCTAAAAGGGGATTTGAGTTTCTTTTTAAAATTCGTTTGTAGAAAGACAAAAAAATTTTAGAACCACATTTAAATTTTGATGATTTAAAATATAGGCTTCTAATTTCCGACTCAAATCGAAATAAAATTTCTTTAAGAATATTTTTTGGCTTTTTTAGCTTTTTAGCAGTATTTTTTATGACGTTTTAATAATACTGGAATTTTATTTATCACGTCTGGAATTATCTCTGAAGCAGCCGGGACTGCTTAATTAAAATTTTGCACTGGATACAAATCTACAATACAATGCAACCAGACTGTCCGGCAGGCATTGTGGAATCTCGCTGATGCGTACCGAACGCTGATTGCGATGAATCTACCTCACACAAAACGTAAACAAAGTACATATAAGAGTTTAGTGTTGTTCTGCTGAAATTATCGTCAAGTTGTCTTTGAAACTTAAATAATAGGCGAATGTTCATGTTGGAAGACAATTTTTATGATGAAAGCATATTGTTATATAAATTTAAATAAGAATAGATAGTATATTAGTTTAAATTCGAAGCATGAGCGGCTAGACACCGGCGTTTCAGATTTACAACCTAGTGCGGTAAAAGATGCTACTTAAAATAAGGTTTAATTATAAACTAAAAATGTTTTGTTTATATTGTCGTTATTTAAATTTAGTTTATACGAAACCAAAAAAACTATAACTACAATTTTATAATTACTTATTTTATTTAATTTCCCTAAAACGTCCAGCTATCAAATTGCATCCCCGATAACGGGGTTTAATTTATTATTATTATATTATTGTGAGTATTGGGAATTGTACAACATTTTTTTATAGTAAACTATAAGGTTTTGATCGAATACTCATCGATTTTCTTAGAAATACATGTAACTTATTTATTTCTTTATTAAAAGATAATTATATATTATTATTTTTATATAGCACCGAGTTTCATGTAATTAAGATAATTTTCTGCTAGATTGATAAAAATCTACATCAATTTGAATCAGAAATTACGTATCATCTTTGAAGCATAAGGAAAATTTAAGTACCTATCTAAATAAATATATTGTCAAGTTATGATAAGTAATACAATTCACTGAATCACAAATAACACATTTTTAGAAAAATTTGGTCATTGTACTTTACAGAAATTCGAAAATAGTTAAATGCGATAAATTTCCACTAAATCATTTTTTAAATCAATTTTCTAATTGATTTCCTACATTTTCACGCGCACCATCCATAAATGACACAATTTTTAAGCGGTTTCATCGCGTTCGTATATAGTTTTATTGACGTTTCGAACCATTTACAGGTTCCGTATTCACATAAAACTAAGGTGTTGATTGTTTTTTTTTTAATTAAAAGTATAGCTACCTTCAAAACCCCATCGGACACACTCACAATACAAAAAAAATATATTAATGTTCTAACTAATAAAAACAAACAGAAAGAGTTCCCACACACTTTTATTGTATACGATGTCTTTATTAAAAGTAATGCATCCTAACCAACGTAATTTTTGAAGATTATAGAAATTACATTATAATACATTTAATACAATATAATTTTAAATTTAAATGTGCTTAAAATACTTACTTTTAAAAAGCCCCATTTTGAAACACTTTCTCATTGTATCTGGGATACTATTCAATTTAACTTCGCCCATAAGTGATAAATTAGCACTCAATTAAATAATATAAAATTTTATCACAAGGAAAGAAAGAGATTTTATTCGATTGAATGTATCTGAAAGTCGTACTTATATTATTTTAGAGGTAAATGTCGCGTAGACAGCGCGTACGTAGCACCGGTTCGCTACGAACTGATACATTATCAGACAAGGCGCAAACGCAACCCAGCGCGCTCATTGCCGCGGATTATCTCATATCGACACTTTTTACCTCCGCTCAAGGTTTGTGATACCCTTCACATCTTCGTAATCTGTTTTATTTTTCTTTATAGTCCAAATATGAATCCCATGCGTATTATACATTTTTAATTTTTATAATGAAAGGGTTAGATACAAAAATAGAAACACGACCGCCAAATATTGACTTGCTTGGTTATATATTTTATAGTTATTTTTAAAATATTTTAGGTATTATTAAAAAAAGATTTACACGGATGCCTGATATAAAAACAATAAATTAACTTCAGTGCATCGTTACAATTTAAGAACACACGTACATTTACGATTTTTAGAGAGATTTTATTTTTGTCCCAACGTCATTAAACGATAATTGCTTGTTAAGAGTAACAATATTTTTCATATTTTTTTTTTGAATCAATAGCTAGCGCTAATTTAATGTTTTTTTATCAACTGGTGACCATTAATATATTGATAATTTTATTAATGTTTATGGACTTTTTTTGGTTTAGACTAATAAAGGTATTTTGAAAACTGAAATAAGCCAAATTCAGAGTCTAATTATACAAAGAGTACCTACTTACAAAAAAAACGATTCCGTTTTTGGGGTTCCGTACCCATACCCTATTACTAAGACTTCAATGTTCATCCGTTTGTCCGACTTTCACCAAGCATCTGGATCTCATGAATCTTGATAGCTAGACAGTTGAAATTTTATTGAAGCTGAGTTGAGTATGTATCTCTGTTGCCGCTACCACAACAAATACAAAAAAAAAACAAAATAAAGTAAATATTTGAAAGCTTCCTATAACAAATGTTATTTTTGCTCGTTTCCAGTACTAAAATTTATGTGTACCTGTGCCGATACGGAACCATTTGTGCGCGAATCCGCTTCACACTTTGCCAGGTTAGCATGTATGAAACAAAAGCACTTTATTAATCTCCCCATTGAGTTTGTTTATTGTGTCTAGATTGGATTGGATATATATTTAATGATAGTAATAAAATCTTTCAGAATTTGAGATAAGATAAACGATGTTGGTTATATATAACAAGAACCTTCTTTTGCGACGTTTATTATTTATAAACTGAACATTGTTAAAAACTCGCCCAAGGGCAAGTCAATCATACCGAGGATACCGTAGATAGAACATTTTTCAGTGCAGAAAATCTAACTCCACTTTCCTACTGGGTAACAAGCTGTCCCCATACATCGACATAGAACGCGACTATTATGCAAACTTTTTTGTTCTAGTGAATATTCAAAACGTTATTTGGATGTTTTGCATTTTTAAACAAATTCTAAGTAAATAGCGAATCCTCTTAATATTAAAAATGCGAAAGTTTGTGAGGACTTATGTTTATTATTATTTCACGCAAAATTCGGATTACCTTTAATTGGATTTCTATTAAACGAATGTTGATAAAAATTGGGTTACCTACGTATTTGACTGAGCCTGAATTAGCATACAGTCAATTCGTTTTGTTGTTTCGTTTCTATTGCGAGATTTGTGATTGCGTCGGCTCAGAAGTTTGATTTTTATATTTACACGAGGTTACAGACCTGACTTTTACCTATTTTCAATAGATTGAGGGACATACATAGGAAATAAAACTAATTCGAAGTATACCTTTTTCCTAATGAGTTCAAAAGTTAAGTTTACAAGGCAAATATGAATTAAACCCCAAAAATATGACTGTTGATTGAATTAACCTAACCTATTCAATATAAACACGATATGTTACTTAAATATTTATTGAAACGTATGACTTAACACTAATATTATAAGATAGTTATGTTTGTTTATACTGAGTAACGTTTAATCAGTTTTTGTTATTAACAACGGGTTTCTTCGTTCCTCATAAGATCCCGCCGGGAAACATTAAGAATTGCCCTGTTCATTGCCCGCTGAATGACCTTCTCTTGCTTCCGTGGGTCATTACTGACAACACACACCAGCCGAGGACTTTTCTCTTGATACACTCAGGTAATTTTTACGCGAAGATTTTTCGTAACTTACCGAACGACGCCCATCCGAGCTGGATTCGATAAGAGATCTCTTTTTCAAAGTTTGGACTTTCCTAGCTGAACTGTCTATCCTTTTTTTTTAATAACGCAGGAGAAATGTACCTTGAGCCTTAAACTAGGGCTCTCCTTCCACCCCGCTCTGATAAGGACAGGTTAGTGTGGAAGGCCTACCTGGTGAAACCCGCTAAGGTTAACCTCACGCGGATAGGAAAAACCCGGTATCCTGCAGGAGGGCCCGGTTTCTTGAACTGTCTATCCTAGGTACACATAATGGTCGAAAACATCAAGAGTAGTGGTCTCAATTTTAATAGGAGTGGGTATAACATAAATACTTGAAATGGTTTTCGTCTCTCATCTTAAGGCACTCCAGATGCCTACTTAGCTAAAGGGTGATAACTAAGAATTGTATATTGTACACGTCCAACTATCGCACTGTTTGTCGTAAAGGGGTAACGAACGATAAGGAAGAAGCAAAACAATAGGAAAATATTAAACAACCTAGACTAGTAAAACCGCTTTCTTCATACTTCATTCATTTCTTTAAGATACAATTACCTTCTCGGCAAGCTCTCTCCACCGTACCCGTAGATCTAATTTATGTCTTTGGGCTAGATCGAAGTCAAGAGTGAGTCCATTATAAATTCCAAAAATACCTACACTTACGATATAAATGAGGATTTAGTCAAGTTTCTTACATATTTTTATATGTAAAAACACATATTCACGAACTCCTCTGGAGGTAGAAAATAAAAAACGTATTTTATGTATTTCTCCACTGAAGATACATAAGCTTCGCCGTTCATTCATGCTAAACCAATGATGTGTAATATTATTTTTAATAGAAAATAATACAGAAAGCACCCTAACTTGATTGTGAGTCAAACACTTTTATCATAGGAAATTACCTAGACAACATTCCTCTGTTTTATGGTATACTTACAAAATGTATACAGGATGTATTTTTTTTTTTAGTAATTCTTTAATGACTCTTTCGCTCGCAAGCCGCTCGAAAAGTGCCGAAATCGTCACCAACAGCTCAAAACGAGATTAACGGCCTTAAGAACATTAATATGGGAAAGTCTGAAACTATAGTACATACTCAGATTTGTTCTTTGGAATTTTAGTAAAAATAAAAGACTACATTCATACAATTTTAATAAAAACTAATTGTCAACTCGTGAACTCGAACGTTTTGAAAAATAAAACTAACATTATTTCTACTAAGATACCGATGTGTAGGTCATAAGCTGTTAATGGTACTATTAATCATGATGTTGAAAATGAATAAAATGCTTTGTTTTTATATCCTGTAATTTATTTTAGTAAGTATTTGTAATCACAATATTTTTTTTTCAATACAACATTAAACTCGCTTAGCGTAAAATTGTCTCTATTTTTTTAAAGACAACGTCACATTCATTGCTCTGATTCCACGATGAGTAGCTAAAGCCCCCATATAATGGAGTATCTGTGAGACAACGAAAGTAACACAACATCCAGACCCAGGACAATATAGGAAAGTCCGTTTTTTATATCAACTCAACCGGAAATCGAACTCGAGAACTCGGAGATGGCGGCCGCTTTAAACCGGCGGCGTGCGAACCACTCGTCTACGGAGTTCGTCTCTTTATCGCTCTCTCTATCGTTACTTGATTCATTGTATGAATCGTATTTCACAGTAACATTAACTGCTGAAGACCTAAATAATCGCTATCGAAGTTAAAATAATGTAGGTCTAATTTTTCAAAACATGCTACTATTATTGTATTGAGTACTAGTATTTCTTTATGTATGAATGTAGTTATCTTTTCACTAAAATCTATGACATGGTTCCCAAGAACAGGTTTTCGTATAGTTGCAGACTTTTCAATACTGACCGTTCTTAATGTTACACCCTGTATTAGATTTCTTTTTCATAATTAATTTTATCCAATCATTAAATTGGTTAACTAATAGATGCTTCTAATGACTTTTGCATTACTTGCGCAACGTACTTAAAAAGTATGAATAATGCAATAATAATGCAATAACTATTACCATAATTAGGATCATATATTAATGATTTCATTAACTGTATGCAACCAAAAAGAGATATAAATCAAATGTTCAATTTGCGTATTGTCATTCCAGTGCAGTGTGTTAAAGTGAAACGATATTATTTCTTATATATATACTCAAATTTACAAGCAGAATTCTTCGTGGTATTTAATTTAAAAATACACTGTTACCACAACCATAAAGGTATGTTATAATATATTTATGTAACATAAGCTATGATTCGAGTGAAAAGTCCGCAGTGCATACAATATTAACTCAAAATTTTATATATATCACTAGCTTTTCTCGCGACTTCGTCCGCTTAATTTATACGCTATATCATCCGCCTATGATGTATTTTCTCATAGGTGAAAGAATATTTAAAATGGGGCCAATAATTACGGAGCCTATTTAATGCAAACAAAAACTTTAAAACAATAATATAGATGACCATTTACCTTGTTATAAACTTAGTCGAACACAAATAAATTTTGTTTGTTATATATAGATATGAAGTTGAATTAATAAAATGTTACATTCGTTTTAAAATATTTAATGAAATGTTTGTATATATATATGTGTGTGGATTTGCTGTCTCAAATGAAAAAAGGGGTTTCTATTAAGAACTAATTAAGAAGAAATTTCAGCATTTACCTAATGTTGAAATTTCCATTATGGAATATAATTTCCATGTTTGGTTTCATATAGATATCTATGTGAATTTGAATCAGTCCTTCTTACTGTAAATTGGCTTCCTCCGATTTACTGATATTTTTAATATTAGACATCTTTATTGTCTGTGCCTTATTAAAAGATCTTTTTTCGATATTTTCAGATGCTTCGCTTCGCTTCATTGCTCCTTGTGTTAGTATTTGTATCAGTTCAAAGTTCACCAACACCCTCAACTAAAGACATAATCAGCAGTCTCATCAGTTTTGATAGAAATGAAGACATGCCAACAATAGAATATGAGAGAACATTCAGTGACCTCCCCAACGTTCTTTACACTATTAAACTGCAATTCAAGGAAATATTAGAAGAATTATTCACACAAGTCTTCACTTATATATTGAGTGTAATGAAACAATTAAAATTGAAATTGTTGAGGAATCTCGGTTTCATTACGTTAGCTGATATCGCTGAAGGCGTTATGAACTTGATTAGTAATTTAATTGTGGAACCAGTAGTCGAAGTCGAAAATGAATATATGCCAATAAGAATGTCTCCTTCGCTACAAACTAGGTATGATCGCAAACGATTCTCGGTAGCATCAACGAGGGATGAAGAAAAATGAAATGTCAAGAAATCTCACCAGTGTTTTCTAAACGATTTTCTTTCGAGAGGAAGAATAACATTGTGACGTCAAGATACTGTGGCTTAACATATCCTTGCGGGGTAGGAGTGTGATAATGACGATTTTATAAAGTTGTACTTACTTACTTGTGAATTAATAAAATACACAAATAATGACAAGTGATTTTTATTGACAAACGATACCTTATGTTATTATGAAAACTAACTATTTTGAGACTTTATTACATTAGAAAATTTAGGAATAACTTCCTTGTCACTTGGTTTTCTCAAATAAGAAAAATAAATATGTAAGTTTTGTAGTCTTAAATGGATTAGTATTGCAAAAAACTACTTTTAACTGTTGTAAAAAAAAGGGATTATTATTTTAGAATTTGCTAGCTTCGAAAATAATTTTTAGATAAACTATGTTTATATATTTTTTTAAGTATTTTTCATAAAGACTATTTATAACAATATTTATGTATAATATTTTGAATGCAAAATTGATAAAATAATAACTATGTTTATTTTTTAACCGCATATTTCAATTTAATGGAATGAAAATGACTTGTTAAATGTTTCGAATTTCGAACAAAGTAGGCTAATGATATTTACTATAGTGCTTATAATAGTTTTCTTATCAATACTCTACTTTCTTTCTCCTTGGCTAATTATTTTTATTTATAATTATAAAAACGTCCTCGCCAAGATAAAACAAGTGACCTTAAATCTCGTTGGGGTTTGCAGGGCCGGATTAGCCACGTAGCAAAAGTAGCAAATGCTACGGGCTCCGCGCAATTGGCAGCCTCACTATGGTACAGTACCGATTAATTAATTTTTCAAGTTAGTGTTAAATAATGCAAATAATCATAGTAAGCCACGCTTCTGACTAGTCATATTTTTACGTATAAACATAAACTGACAAATAAAACTGAAGTCACAGATTTCTTGTGTTGTGTTATTTGGCAAGCAAAGGATGACCTTTCTGTTTCGGGGCACGCAATGCAAGTTAAATAAAAGCTTGAAAATATTTTGTAAGTGATTTTGTTCTGATCTTGAAATTTGCTCATAACAGAATTTTAGGAGTTCTTGTGTTATATGAAAGTATACTTTAAAAAGACTTTCAAAAAGTAAATAAATAATTTTAACAAAACGAATAACTTAGAGTTTTAGGTGTGAATAAATACAGAAAATAAAAATACCGCGCGTGGCAGCAAAATATTTGCTTTGAAAATATATAATAAAGGTACCGCTATTTGCAAGAAAATAAGTCATTTTTAGTCTAAAGAATATATTTTCCTGATTCTTATTATGAATTAAAAAGCTATGGGGTTGACAGTTTTCAGTTATTTCAGTAACATATTATATGTAAGTCCTTTTAATAAAGCCGACTTGATTCTATTATTCGAAAACATACTGAAAAGAAAGTTTAACTATCTTTTACTAATGTATACCCGTGAAAGGAAAGCTAAAAGGTTCTCTCTCTTTTTAACCTCGTTACATTTCTGTATATCTAACTACGCTTGTATAAAAAGATCTATATGATAGATATGATCAACATTCAATAAAATATTGCCATATTCAAATAAAGATACAAAGTAGATGATATATGTAATTGCTAAGATCAATTCTAAGGAGTTTGGAGACAATTTGCTAAAATATTTCGCATAAAGAAAAATAAAGTTATAATTATTTGTTTAATACAACAACCTATAATAACTAATTACAACTAACTAACTGTATTACTTATTTTTGCTTTTCCTATGAACTTTAAGGTGTTCTTATTTACATATAATTTGGATGACTTTATTTTATTGCATTTCTCAATGTAGTATTAAGATGTTTAAAAATAAAACTATCATTATGGACCCCGTCGGGTCGGTAAAAGTAAATTTGGAAAGAGGTGAAAACTGAATAACACGTTTTGAAAACTTACCTATTTTATAGATATTTATTAATTAAATAGATATATATTTAAATGGAGATACAAGACTAGATTATTATATTTAAATTAGAGTTCAAGTTTTTCACTTATAATAATGATTTTTAGTAAACAAATTCTTCAGAAGGCTGGTTTGTACCTCGCCCAAAGAATTAGTTTAGCTATTCAAAGAGGTAACGCTCGCAGCCTTCTGGGTACCTTACCTGTAGGCAATGATCTTGGAGACATTTTTAATTTAGTTTAGTTATTATTTTAAGAAATAGTTTAGATAAGTAGTTTTAATTTAATGTCAGAGATCAATTATCTTTATTTTTTAATTATTAATTACTGAAAACCGTACTAATTCTTCATTATTTCATATAATTTTTTTCTTGACTTTGGCAAATCATTGTATATTTTTATTGACATTGCTAGTGGACTAGAAGAGTGCACTTTATTGGATAGATATCGGCTATCTAAAAATTTATAATCTCGAAATAAAAAGGTTTGCAGAAAAATAAAGTTTTTTTCTATAATTACCTACTGCAAACACTAACCAGACATATATTGTAGCATAATATGATCCTTCTACTTTTTCTTAATATCTGTGTCAAAATAAGGTAGTTAGGTTTATACACGCGGCTGCACATCGGATTAGGTACCATAATGTGGCAAATATCTTCAGTAAATTTAATAGTCGAGTTTTTAAACAGATATTAAAAACTTAAACAGATTTTAGTTTCTGATTTTAGTTTTTTTAATAATCAGTTGATAGCAGTTTGATAAAACTAGGACTTTTTGACTTGTGAAACTTAAGAAACCTAAGTAATTGAGAATAATTAGTTGAGATTTTGTACTTCTCTCAGTTCAGAAACCGTTTTTTAAACTCTTCCTGCGGTGTCAGTTGCTGGATATTAATCCATAAGTAATTAATTAATTTATTACCATAAGTAAATAAACAATCTATTGTTCAATCCAAAACCAGCACAGAACAGTCAAATAAAAATATGTTTAAAGTAAAATTAAATCTTAATTCAAAAATTAAATTTATTAAAATATTTTTGACTTAAAGCGTTTTTCTTTCATTATTACTTTAAACATTTTTTTTGTTTGACCATACTGTTTGGCTTGAAGAATAGATTTTTACTAATTTATACATGGTCGCTGGAAAAAAAGAACTGACTCCAGCAACTGGGACCGCGGTTCTAGTTAATATGATCTCAGTCGTCGGAAACCTCTTAAACTCTACGCTCAAAGCATTAAGGTTTGAAATGGAGTGGAGAAAATTGACTGATTTATATAGCCTGACGTGTATAAAGTGGAACCCGTAACGAATTTTATCGAAGGATCTTTTTTGTTTCTAGCAACGTTACCCAGCCAATTGCTATAACCTATGTATTTTCTCATAAAACACGGCTCGTAATCTGTACTAATATTAGAGAAAAGATTTAATTGTTTGTTTGTCTGCATTGAATAGACTCCGAAACTACTGAACTGATTTAATACGCGGTCGCCCGCGTAGGTATAAAATTGATCCAATAGTTACAGTAGTGCTATGTCAACATACGCTGTATAAACTACAGCGGGTGAAGTCGCGAAAAAAAGCTTTGATGTTCTTTACATAACACAAGTCTAGATAATGTAGATAAATGAAGTATTATTGTTATACGTTTAATGTATTTTTAAATGTTTTTCTTTCACAGACAGACATCAGAAATTACCGGCATATTATTGTCTCTACTGGTGGGGATCAAAATAAATAAATAAAATTTATTTCAAATTACTAATAAAACAAGTTTAAGGACAGAAATATGTTAACCTCGGTTTATGAGGTTACCTAGTTATTATAAATCTATTTTGGCAGCTAGAAATTGTAATTAAGGTTTCATTCCAATAAAATTTTACACTCAATAAAAGATTTACTAAGAATTTAATCTTCTGAGACTATAGTATAATTATAGTATAATCGCTGTCAGCAACGAATAGAAGTAATTAGTCGAACAACTTGTATTTCAAGTAGCTTAAAGAGATAGATTTTTCATTGACAAATGGTTATTATAAGCAATTTAAATTGATGGAACTAATAAATACCTATAAGCTGTTATAATGATAATCGACTATCTCAGATAGAAAAATATGAATATTGTATTGTGAATATATAAAATAAAGTCGCTCCGCTTATCTCTACTATATTGTAACAAAACACAACGGATTCGAATACGGTTGTGAATTGTGAGCAATGTACAGATTGATTATAGAGGAACGTTTATATGTAGAATACAGGGGGCCAATTCTACTAAATAAATTTTGTTTAAATCGAATCGAAAACGATACAATTCCAGCTAAAATAGAACTGGAATTGTATCGTATGTCACTTTGTAGAATAGGAAAACCATTAAATGCTGTAGTTTCGTTCGGTTTCGATCCGTTTTAGATCTGTTTTCTTTATTTAGTAGAATTGGCCCCCAGTACCACGCGGGCGAAGCCGCGGCGGAAAGCACGTTAAATATAATAAAGGGGAAGGGTGTTCGTCAAAAATCACTATCACATAAAATATTACAAGGAGAGAGAGGTGTAGTTATATATCACGTGTATTTAATTTTTCGTCAAACGCGCGATTTCAAAACCGAAAAGCGGCGTCAAAAAATATGATTTTTTTGGGTTTTTAAATAACTTAAATGGGTCCTCTAACCCCTATAAAAGTATTTTAGGTCAGATCTATGGCTAGGGCCCTTTTGTCTTAAGGGGCTTCTAAAGGCGAAATATGTTTGGCAATGACTGGCTGCAAAACAGCGTGGCTAGCAAGATTATATACCAGCCATAGGCCAAGCATTTTTGTAACCGTCGATATTGTAAAAATATTTCTGAGATGTTCGGGCAGTTGCCAATAGTGCAACCTCTAATTACCAAAAAAAATATATAGCCCGTACAAACCAAAAAGATTTGAGTATACCAATGTCAATAAATAGGTTGATACTTCCATTTTATAGAAAGGGGACCGATCTGTTGCCGGGATCTTTATCTCGAGATCTTTTTCTTAAAAATCCCTTTAAAAATATGTATACGCATTTAATGCTTCAAATAGCATTTTTGCA